GCCAGGAGGTGTCCACATTGCGACAAGGTCTACGTCAGCATGCCGGCGTTTAGCATGCACGTGAGGACCCACAATCAAGGATGCAAGTGCCACTATTGCGGCAAGTGTTTCTCTAGACCGTGGTTGCTGCAGGGACACATACGCACGCATACAGGTATTAATATATTATTACCACAAAACTGCTTTATTTATAACTTCTTTTCTTGATAACTTCGATAATTATATAATTCACCAAAATACATGCATAATTGACATCTAGAAAAAGAAAGAATTAATAATTCTTTGTTACCAAGTTAATAAATATTCGTTTAATTTAATAACATCGTTCGACCCTCGAAGTTGTTTTTTGTCCATGACCGATTGCGTTTACTTATAATAATAGATATCTACGTAAATAAACTAAGACGAACTATTTTTGAAGAGGGTAGAGTGATTTAACGGGCTTTCAATGAAGATGAATTCAAATTAATCATTCATGATTTGTGATTTTGGCACGCTTAAATATGCAGTACTATTTCCAATTGTGCAAATTACAGATATACAACTGTGAAATCACACACAACAATATAAAATTTACGTTTTTCAAATGCGCAAAGTATATTAGGAATAATTAATTGATACCTTCAGTTAAGAAAGAATAAATTTAAAAATGCAAAAAAATGAAATATATACTTCATTTTTTATTTTCTACTTTTAATTTTATTCTTAAACTATTCTTTTTATTTTTATGTTATATATTTATGTTATATTTATATTTATGTTTTTAAAGAGTATTTAAATCTGTTAGGTATTCTTTTAAAATAAGCTCTTATCGTTTAAGATTTTTTAAATCACTTTCTTTTTTAATAATTACTTTCAATATAACTTTTATTAGCACATAAAAGAAAGCATAGTTTTGGTGCAACTAAATTATATTATACTAAGAAACTCAATAATATTTTCAATAATTACTTTACTTCTTCCAGGCGAGAAACCTTTCAAATGCACCATTTGCAACAAAGCCTTTGCCGATAAGTCAAATTTACGAGCTCATATACAAACGCATTCGAATACCAAACCTCACGTGTGCGGTCGTTGTGGCAAAGCTTTCGCTTTGAAATCATATCTCTACAAACACGAGGAATCGTCCTGTATGCGTTCTCATCACCGATCGTCCACCGATCGTCCAGATAAGTCCGATCAGATCGAACAGCAGAGGACATCATCATCGTCGATAAAATCGAGTGTTCCATTATCATCCTTAAACAGAACGCAAACGTCGTCGTGTGTCACAGCATCGCCAACCAGCGTCATAGTTCCTCGATTGGGACTCGAGCGTGAGCAGAAAGACTCGTCGTCGGCATTCTCTGCGATCATCAGGCACACAAGGACGTCAGATACATCTGCAGCGGTACCATCGAAACGACCTTGCAGAGAGAAGACATCTTCGGAAGATCTAGAAACACAGAGTCCCGATTTGATGACCAAGGATCCGGAATACGTATCTAGAATGGTCATCAGAACGTCGGTGATATCACCCAATCCAGAGCACTTACATCTCCGTTTCGAAAATGACGTTAAGAGTTCCTCAACTACATTCGATTATCCCGATCCGACGAGAGCCTCGTCTTTTTCGAGGCCCACCACGATGACTTTGAACTTGGCTATCGCTTAAAAATCGACCAATACTTAGCGATCAAATCAAGTCAACCAATCAATAAAAATAATTCAGATTTGGTTTCATACTTACTTTAATATGAATTTTAATCAGTTGAGAAGATTTTAGTGTATCCTAGAATTACAGCTCGGTATTCCGTAAAAAATTAAAGAAAAAGTAACTCTCTTAAAACATCTTTTTATTTAAAAATATCTTTTTATTTAAACTTTTATATAAAATTAAAGCAAATTTCGAAATTTCTTTAATTATTTGTTAAAAAAATCTTGTCAATCAAAACAATAATCAGCTCTTATTTTTTTTCGAGACTATAGTATCAAAAGATTTAATTGAGAAATTGAAAATTCGAATTATTAAAATGATTGTAAAAGTCAAAATTACGTTGTTTCTTTTAATCATAAATTATTTTAATTTAAAGTGTCTTTAATTTAAAAAAAGAATCTTTTTTCATTAATATTTTTGTCAATATATGAAACTATTATTCAAACTGAAACTATTGTTTCAGTTTAATAATTGACGGACATTTTGTACAATTTCGATAGTTTTCGCAGGCATTATCAAATATTATGTGACTGTTAATTTTTCTTTTTCGCATTATTATTTATTACAATTTTATACTATTTTATACTATACGAACAAAAATTACGTTTGATAATGCCGAATAATATTGTGAATTAGCAAAGAATCGATAGTGTATGACAAATGTTATTCCAAGTATCTTCCAAATTAGGGACCATCTAGCGATTAGTCGTAATAACGTTAAATTTGTAAGCGTGTTTAATTTAGCGCAAATTACATTGATGTAAAGTCGTGCCTTACATAAGTATCGAATCGTATTTTAACAACTCGACACAGCTTCGACAGAATTGGCGTGTACGGACGAACGCGTGGAAAGAAATTTTCGGGGGCGTCTGTTAAACGCCAAACTCGTGACCTTATCTATTTAAAGGCGCGTAGCATTGCTATCATGCGGCGTTAAGCGATCAAGATTGATCATCAAGGACTGAATTGCAGTGCCATCGTGTTATTATTTTAGGATTAAATGAGATTCTCTGAGGCTCTTCGAGGCAGCTATCAAACTTTGTAAGATGTAAATACGTATGAATGATAGATGCGCGAAATATAGTGAACTCCAAGGAGGATGTGAAAATATTTTTCTCCTATGTATAATCGAGTGGAAAATTTTTACTGTTATAATCATAAAAATAACGAAGAGAATGATGCAGCATTCGACGTGAGGTTTGTTGTTGCCTTCGAGAAAGAATCTTAAAAAACGCAACTACGCGTCGGGATTCAGGCGTTGCGTCAGGACGTTCTCAAAAGCGAAGGCGTGTGTCTGTGATTCGGAATTGCCGCAAAAAGCCGGCTACAGGCAATGCGATCACCCTGCCAAATATATATAT